CAAACAATGGGTTGACATTGTCCCTCTGGTGAAGAGGGCCTCCATCAACCTACGGGTTGCATTTTTAAAGCAATTCCATTTAATAGACCGGAATTGCTCCGTGAGTATCATACTCCCGTTTGGACCAAAAGTGGTCATTTCTCTATCATCCTCGTCACTATCAGTCTCCTCGTCAGTCTCCTCGTCATCCCTTTCTTCCATTGCTTCCTCACGAAAAACTTCTTCATCATTTACGTTTACTTCAGCAATTGGTTCCATTGCTTCCTCCCGCAAAACTTATTCGTTATCTACGTTTACTTGAGGATCTGAAAAATAGATAGAATAAATAACAAAGATTATGATATTAATGGAAAGTGTAAACTTACCCATTACAAAATTAGTATGTTTTGGGTTAATAAATTAAGCTGAAACGATAAAAGTTAATTGAAAAAGTTTATCTATCTTTAGTCCCAAAAAGAACTGACATTTTGAATTTGCCGTCATTTTTTTCGCTTCAGTATCAGAGTTGCCTTTTTTGATATGTTGTCATTAGTAAACATTGAGGTTAAGTTATGGAAAAGTACAGGATCGTAGAACAATTAGAAAATGTAAAAAAATTACTTAAAAGATGACTTCTACGAAAATGAATTTTTTTTCTTTGGGATTATCTTAAGGATAGAGCGGTTGTTCAAGAACCGATTTTCTACATGATTTATCGTTATTTCGTATCATTTCTACGTTATATTACTTATTAAAGTGAAAAAGTAAATATAATTCTGTGACAATATCCAATTTTACGAAAGTTTCGTTTCTGGAACAAAAAGTTCAAAAGTTGAATACATAAAAGATGCATGAATTTAGTTTTAAAAATAGAATTCAATTTTATAAATTTACTCCAGATTTTGTAGTTTATACGCTTGGTTTTTGAAATTTAATAAAAAAAACAAAATATGTTTACAAAAAGAAAACTTTTTCTCTTCATATTTCACGCTGCAAATAGTGAAAATGCAAAAATCTGGCAGTATCTATTTGCATTTGTATAGATATGCTTGTTTTTAACTCAATACAATACAATTAGTGTATTAAAAATCGCCTTATTTATGTGTGAAATTTAAACTTTGACCATAAATTACAAGAATTAGAGTTACGACAATTGAAAAAAAAAGATCGAAGCTTTTAAAAATTAATAAATATTTCTCGCGATTAGTTTTAAAGTGTTTTTAACTGCACGTTAACATTTAATTCTTAAAATTTAAACAAGGAAAAAAAAATAGAGAAAATGGTGATCCGATTTCATCTGCAGATGATAAATACGTGTTGGTGAAGTACGAGCAAAAAGCGAGAACGTTTTACAATGTTCTCGAGCAGTCGAATCTCTACGATTCTTTCCTGCCGAACAAGAAGTGCTTCATTTCGGACGACAATCTTAATTCGTACACGTGCGACGTAATTAAGACATCGAGTGAGTTGAGGATGATCTTGTATTCTTGTGGTGGTTTAACTAATTTATTGTTTCTTCTTTAGATTATGAGGAAGATTTGATAAGCGAATTTTATAATTTGTTGGAAGCTGCCGCCCAAAGTTACGTTCCAAAATCGTCAACGTTGAAACCGGAGCCAAAGTACATAACGGACGCTCACTTTCGGATGATAACTTTGGGGCCGAACGGAAACGTACTTCCAGCGAGTACGATGAATCGCGTAAGGTGGAATTTTTACACGACCGCCACGTACGGTCTGCTCGAAGCCGTCTTCTCGAAGGAAGTACTGGCGACGCACACGCTGAAAGGAGACGCTTCTAGGATGCTGTTCAAATTGGAGGAGAGGAAAGTCGAAGACGTGATTTACTTCATCTCGAGGAAATTCTCGTTATCCAAAAAGGCTGGTCTGTTTTGGGTTAAGTGCAAAATTCAAAACTAGGCTTGTGATGTATCCCTGCAATTCATCAGCTCTCTTAAACCAAAACTGTTAAGTTTCTTAGAAGAGATGCGCGCGACGATTTACCCTTAATGTAGTTAAACATAAATGAAAATACACAAAAAAAATAGTCGATGAACATACGGGATTTCATTGCTAATCTGCTAATTATAATAGATCTACAGCTAATAATGAAAATATATTTCATAATCCTCATAATAAACATTTATCCATAGAAAGTAGCAAAATTCCTTTACAACTAAGAATTTGAAAGAATTGAACTTCTTGAATTAAATTGATAGACTTTCGGTTAAAATTAGATGTACAAAATATTTTTTTAATTTACTTTGAAAAATATTGCGTTTCTCCGAATATACTGATTATGTTCGCACATTTTATGTCTTCAACTTGTTTGCTACATGTTCATAAATCAACATGTGCATAAATCAACGTATAGATCGTTTTTCCTCCAGGTCATCTCTTTCCAGGAATATTTTCTTTGGTCAAATGTTAAATCCTTAAACATAGTTTGTTCTTATAAATTTACAACATCAATGAAAATAATTTATATAAATTATATAATTATTATTATAGAAATTAATAACAAGTGTAAAGAAATAAAGTAAAAATTTGTGAAAGTTAAGTTCTACTAAAAAAATAATATGTTACAATCAACCACATGCACGTTCTCACTGGTACAGTAGCTCACCGAACTCCTTATTTTATCAATATTTTGCAACATTAATATTATCATGGCATTGCCTCTTCACCTCTGTTTTTAAGTTAAATTGTTTCCAAATAATCTTTTCCTCCACGTTATCTCTTTCCAAGATAATTGAGTATTCGAATTTAATATCAAATTTGAGAGTATAATCCATATCTGGTAAAGACCACACCTATTTAGGACTATGTGCAGTTTCTCCGATTATTCGCACATTTTCTACACATGATATTCCACATTGACGTTATCATTTAGCAATATTTTTTTTTCTAACTCGCGACTTTTCTGCTGCATTTGTTTCGTATCCTCCAAATCTCTCTGGATAATAGTCACCTAATCGATATTCATCATCGAATTGTTATATTCCTGAGTATAGTTTGCCTTATGAATCTCTACACTCCAAAATCCATTTTTATACTGGTTTATGTTCAGTTATTCCGATAGAGGACGTGTTGGAACTGCAAGAAGGAAAAATCATGCAACAAATTATTTTGAGAAAATATGTGAGAAATTAATACTAAAATTTTGTATTTATTTAAATATGTACATGATACAAACAAAAAATTCAATTATCAACTAGTAACAGTACCATTAAGACTTCGGTTTATTCAATCAAATCTATCATAATTCCAGTTACTTTTTTGACGAAAGAACAATATTTGCTTACAAAGTGTTTAATACATGTTTACATTCTCATATTATAGAATTGTTCTAAATCAATGTATAGATAGTTTTTTCCTCCACGTCATCTCTTTCCAGGAATATTTTCTTTGGTCCAATGTTAAATTCTTAAACTTAGTTTGTTTTTTTTTGTGCAACTTTTGTACGTGTTTTACATGGTACAATTATTATTAGTACTTATATCTTCGTTCAAGCTACGTCGAGCGAATCTTTGACATCTTTGAATTTCTCATCGAACATATCATTTTTTTGGTCAATCTCTTCCAAGTTTCGCTTCAAACCTTCAACCACATGCACGTTCTCACTGGTACAGTGGCTCACCGAACTCCTTATTTTATCAATATTTTGTAACATTATAGCTTTGCTCTTACAATCTTTACTCTCTATGTACTCTTTGTATTTCCTCTTCACCTCTGTTTTCAAGTAAAATTGTTTCCAAATTATCTTAAGCAAAGGACCTTCCACGTTATTCACTTCAGAATGTTCAGCTTTTAGTGTATGTGCTGAATTGGATAACGGAGTGTTTGTAGCTCAAAGAATTTTCGTATACAATGATTTTCTTAAAGTTCTCAAGGTATTTGCTGGTAGATGTCATGTCCATCTTATAATATTGTTCAATATCAATGTATAGATCTTTTTTCCTCCACGTTATCTCTTTCCAAGATAATTGAGTATTCGAATTTAATATCAAATTTGAGAGTATAATCCATATCTGGTAAAGACCACACCTATTTAGGACTATGTGCAGTTGCTCCGATTATTCGCACATTTTCTTGAAATGATCTTCCACATTGATAGTATCATTTCGCAATAAATTTATTTCTATTTGGCGATTTTTCTGCTGGATCTGTTTCATCTGCTACAAATTTCTCTGGATTGTCACCCCAAGTATTGTGTATATCTCCATCGCTCAGAGTTAATAATTTATATAAAAAATATAATATTAACGTACATTTGTTAGGATAGTTCAGCACAAACTTATAAATCTCTACACTCCAACATCTATTTTTATACTAGTTTATGTTCAGTTATTCCAATAGAGGACGCGTTGGAACTGCAAGAAAGAAAAATCATGCAACAAGTGATTTTGAAAAGTATATCAGTAATATTCTATAGAAATAATTGTTTTCTTGGATTTTTGTATATTTAACAATACAATAAAAAAAGGGTTTGAAACAAGCGCCCTAACAAAGGCTGAGTGAGTCACAGGCGCTTCAAACCTAGCAGCACCAATAGAACGGGTATTTCCCTAGAATGTCTTTCGCCTTAACATTTAAAGTTCTAACAATCATCTCGCATCTGTTCTCATCTTCTTCTGAAAATTTAATTAAACTCGCCTCCTTCATTACCACGGCCTTCCTTCTATTTAACCGAAAGATCTCGTCGTATTCAGATTCACCAGCTTGCTTTAACTCGAACAGTGCGAGGATTTCTTCACATCTTGTCAAGATATTTCTGAATGAGTTGGAGTGGATGTTGTGCAGAATAATTTTCTTCTGGAATTGGAACCGATGAGGTGCATCAAAACGTTAATTCAGGTCTACCACCCTAACTCACGTATTTTTAGAGTATGCTCTGTATTAGTTCACAATTTGTACGTACATACTTACAGTCACTTCACGAGTCATCATATTGTTGAGATCTTCAATGAATTTGATGGCAGTCTTTTTACCAAACTTATAAAACTTCTCAATGTTAGCCCAGAGATCCTTTTTTTCTCTTTCTCTTAAGTTTGATCATCTAAGTTTCATGACTATAAAATTATGTAAATAAATATGAAATTTGTGCAGCAACACCTCGCATAGTCCGGGTAAATAGTTCCGCTATTTGAAACCATACTAACATTGAAAATAAACTTTAAAAAAAAACAATATTTTTGTATTACAATAATTTTTGGTGAATGTATTTTGATTTTGCATAATTCAAATCTAGTTTGTTTTAAAATTTTCAATCCAGATTGATCAAAGCCAGAGTTACCTTACATACATAGGCTTCAAAATTAATTTCTTATACCAGAGTTTATAAACTATTATTCAGAAGTAAAGGTTAGTGCAGAAAGTTTGAATCTGTCTAAAAACACGTCCCAAAGAGAAACGCGAATTCAGCGCGAACCGTGATTTAAATGCAAGCGCTGTTTTCTTAGCCGAAATTGGCACGTCGGGAATTCACATCACATTTTTTTTTAATATATATATATATATATAAATGGCATGTGGATTGACGGTGAGAGAGTCAAGTGTGTTTTCATATTTGATGGTCTGAGGTATAGGAATTAAAACGAGCTGCGGTGTGTGCAAATATTAGTTCAAATTCTATTTGTGTAGACGCTGGAATCGGAAAGGTAAATACAGCGTTTCAAGTTTATAATTGGAGGGGCTTTCGAAAATCGAATGAGTGGTGGTGGTTTGGTGGATGGATGGATGTTTTGTTTTAATAAATTTTGTGATTAACTTTGCACGGCAAAGCGAATCCGAGGGAATCTGTGCTCGTGCCAACTAGGGATTGCTTAGTCTCGACATTTTTTTTTCATTCCCGGGATACGAGACAACTATACAAAGCTTTCCCGGGAATTCTCGGCACTCGAGAACATTTATATTCAATATTACACAATAGTTCATAACAAGGAATGAAAACATAATTACATCATTAATAAGACTAAAATAGGACATTTGTGGTTTTTTGATGGATCAAAGTAATGTTTAGTTCAATATTTCACAATTTCTGTATTAGAGCAGGCGCTGCATTTAACCTGTTTCTGTATTTATCTTTCACATAAGTATCTCTTGAAAATCCTTTCTGACAAAGATATGTTGTACAAAATTGAACTTCAATAACCTTTTTTG